CCCCGATGTGTAGTGTGTGGCTAATGGCTCTCATAATGAGAGATTTATGACTTGGGGCTTTCACACACCGCACCAACCTCATTTGTCCAGCTCATGGCAGGGCCTGTAATCATCTCTGCAGGCTCCAGCTCCAGGCTCCAGACATACCGCTTTGGTCAATTCAGCTGAACAGATGAGAAACAAGAAGCCCCACAGTCCCACAATCCCACAAACGAGAGTCATGTTGCTCCTTATGAAGGAGAGGAAATGCATCCTGACATCTTAGGAAATATTTTTGTGTCTTGTTTACATAATGAAGCCTGAGCTGACAGGTTCTTTTGGTTTCTCTGAAGTGTGTGACTTTGTAGCTGGCATGGATGTGACTCTAGGTCCTCTTTTTCTTCCTTATGTGTCAGTTTTTCTCCAGCCCTGGTCTAAAAGTAAGTAATCTACACTTGCTCATCCTCCAGAAGGTTGCCTGGCTAATGAGTCTGGTAATTGGGAACCTGTTGCAAACTGGATCCCACTTAAGTTGGAGCTGGGGGTGGTGTTTTTTGCTTTTGTTTTTGTTTGGTTTGGTTTTCTCCCCTGTCCACCATTGTGCACAGCATGATTCCAATTTTCTGTCACCCACCTGCAAAGGCATAAATGATTATCTCTGAAATCAAACCACTTCATGATTTTTTCAAATCTAATAATAAGAATTCTTGTTCGGCGAGATTATTGAAGACAGTGCATAATGGTACAAATGATACTGTTTACCACTTAAGGAAAGAAGTCAGCTAAAGTGGAAACTTCTGCCCTCACACAGATTCCATCCCATGTTCCCAACACCTCACAGCCCAGCCACGGAAGGGAGAGATCCCATGGCAGAGCTAGACCGTGTGCGGGAGGCCTTGTATGCTTATGCATGCTCCTCCTGTCACATGTTTATGCACACTCTTCCTGTTACGGATGGGGAAGCTGAGTGCCAGAGTCAAAGTCACAGCCGAGTGGCCAGGTGGCATCTGGCACCCAGTATCCTTGCTGCTTGTACAGATCCCTCCTGGCTTATCAGACCATGTCCTGTTAAGACCAAAAAGATGGAAGCAATCTTCTCATCTTTCAATTTTTCCTTTCCTACTTGCTTCCCAAATTTCTGCACTCTGCTTAGGTGAAGCTACATATTCCCTGGGAATTCCAACAGGACAGTTGTCTCCCTGCCCACCACCATGACCAGGCTTTGGTTTTCTCTGACCTGAGCGGCCTTCTAGCTCTAAGGAGACTGTTTGGAGAGAGGTGTGTGTTTTCTGTCTTTTACGTTGAAGTTTGTAGTGCAGGTGTGTTTGAGTTATATGGCAGAGACCACCTGTGTTTAACTGCTTACATCTGTCAGGTTCTTAAAAAAAGACCTCTGTTTCTATCTCCCTGTGCCCCCAGCCATGTGATTACAAAGGAAGGAAAGAATACTTTTTAAAAAGCTATTTTTCAGATTACTACTACAAGTATCTAGCCATGTATCTCTTTCTACTCACATATCTCTCATAAAAAAATTAGTTTATGCTAAGAAAATATCACATAATAAAATCAAGACAAAACTGCAGAACGAAAGACAAAAGAGGGCCTGTAAGAAAGAATTGAAAGTAAGCACTTACACACATTTGAACACCCATGTTATTCATGATAGCTGGAAGGTGGGAGCAACCCAAGTGTTGATCCACAATAAATGGATAAATAGTATGTACATTAATTGGAAAAAATCATTCAGCCTTAAAAAAGAAGAGACTTCTGACCCATGCACAACATGGGTAAACCCAAAAGACATTATGCTAAGTGAAACAAACCAGTCACAAAAGAACAAATATGTTAAACGAGATCTCTAGATTAATTTGTAGAGATCGATAGTAAAATGGTGGTCTTCAGGGACTGGATGATGGGGTTGGAATGGGGCATTAATGTTTAATGGGTACAAAGTTTCTGTTTTACAAGATGAGAAGTTCTGATGATGGTTCCACAATAGTGTGAATGTACTTAAAACCATTGCACTGCATACTTAGAAATGACTAAGGTGATAAACTTTTTGTCATGTGTATTTTACTACAGTTAAACAGGACAATCCACAAGATGAAATTATCAGATATACATTGCATGAATAATACTTTAGGTATCTCATTTGCCCATAAGATTATGAGTTCCTCAAAGATGAGAACTCTTAGGCTTTATTCCTCTTTGTTACTCTTGCACCTAACTGAGGAACGCACATGTGTTATATGCTCAATTCTTGCTTCGTGTGATAGCAACAATACGTTGATACATGTAGCAGCATGAATAAATTGGTGCTGTTACATGTGAACATGAGCAAGGCACCATGGGCAGTTTACAAAGTGCCCTCATGTGAGTTGTCATATTTGATTACTCTCATGGTCTTTGAGGCCTGTGGCCCTACCCTATTCTTTAGAAGAGACACATTCCAGCCATATGAAAAGGCAGTGCCTGGATGCCCTCTGTGGATACCCAGGACTAGCTTTCAAATTCCAGGGGTCTCGGAGTCAGTTAATGCCTAAGTGACTATGGCGTTAAGTGGACAGGCTTTTAGAATATCCTTATTATATGCCATGTTTTTCTGAGAGATGAAAATTATATGTAGAACAATGAATAATAGCAGATGTCATAGTCTTGAAGGCCCATTAGCCCCTGAAAACCTTTATTTATCTCATTTAATAATCCCCAGGCTGACAAAGCATATGTCAGTCTAACTCTTACAGAGAAGCAGAGTCCTGGAGTTTAAGTGGCTTGTCTAAGGTGAGAGCATCAGAATGTGGTTGTGTCAAGTGTCTCCTGGGGCAGACACCAATACTCGGTCTGCTCTGTGTCTATCTTTTATGTAGGTACCATAACAATTAACATTGCCTTAGGCTTACTGGAAGAATGACCCTTGGCAAGTTACTTAAATAAAGCTCACCTTCTTCTGGAAAATGAAGGCAATCATAATGCCTTCCTCAGAAGGCCATAAAGTGTTAAAGTGCTTAGCTACACAGTAAGCTTGAATCACTTCCAGCAATTACGATAAGATGGTGACATTAACCAAACAGGAAATACCATTGGGATTGTCCAATGGCATTTACATTGGTCTAGTGTTGATGAAACTCCTTAAAAATATACTTTCCATTTATGTAATTACTCATACAATCAATGACTTATCCCAAGGAATAAAATGATTTTCCTTAAAAAAAAAAAAAAGTATATTTCATTTGAAAGGCAATGAGTTTTGCTATTTATCCTGGCTCCTCTTTGTCCTCGACTGTTGGAAGCTCACCGTTCAGTTGCGATTTATCTGTACCAATGCCATCTTTAGCCAGGTGTTCGGATTCAGTGATTTTTTTTCCAGATTCTTTTATCATTGCTTAACCAGTTTTTAACTGTGCTATTAACCATAAGCAACCTCAAATTTTGTTGGCTATACATTTCAAGACAATGTTCATTAGAGTTTAGTGCCAAAGATTTCATTAAATTGTATGAAAACTGATAGTTCTTGTAATAGCTTGCGTTGTAAACAGACTGTCCTATTGCCCAATTTTCTAGATAAAGCAGCTTATAGAAATTGGTAAGAAGTAGATTAGACACATTAACATTGTGATGTTATCTGGATCTATTTTAATATGAAGAAAGTTAAAACACACTAAAATGCTGGTTGGCAAGGGAACCAGCATCATCAAAATAAGTGAAAAATAAAGTAATGAGATGTTAGAGAGAAAGAAGAAGAATGTGTATCTGACTGTAGGCAGTGGGTAAAAGAGTTCTTTGTCTGATATCTAACAGTGCTTTACAGTGAACTTCTAATAATGCTCATGCAAACTTGCTATACATACTGAAGAAGCCTCAAAAATACACATCAAAGTGGTGATTGCTGTTTCTGCTAACAAGGAATGGCACCAAGTTGAACTTGCATGATTCCTCCCCTGGTTGCCTTGTAAACATTCCGGTGACTTCACACCTATAGCACTTTGAGATTCCTTGGCCTAGGGCAGAATGTTGGGAGCCAGAATCATTCTGAGAGTAGTTACAGATATAAATTGTGGCTGTCTTTTCTTTCGTTTAGCCAAACACATCCTTGTCATTAAAAGACCTTTGAAACTAAGTAAAATGACTTTGAAACGTCAGTGGAATATGATCAAGCTGTCTGAGGAAGGTATGTTTTGATTTTTTTCCCCACAGGTATAACCCTTTCAAAATATAAAACAGTGTGTTCACTCAGCCCATACTCGATGAGTATCTTTAGTTGGCAGGTACTGTGCTAGGCACCAGGGAAAGGGATGAATCAGAGTTCCCAAAAGTCCTTGGTAGATTTGGGGAAACAGATTCTGGCATGGATAATTACAGAACAATATTAAAAGGATGTACAGTAATGCCTATCAGGGCTACTGTTGTGGGGTTGAAGTGTGTTCCTCAAAAAGACACGGTCAAGGTCTAGACTGTAATACCTATGAATGTGGCTTTATTTGGTAGATGTAACCAAGGTTAGGTGAGATCGTACTGGATTAGGTTGGGCCTTAAAGGCAGTGACTGGTGTCTTTATAAGAGAGATTTGGAGATATAGAAAATGGCCATGCGAAGAGGGAGGCAGAGATCAGAGTGAGGCAGTCCCAAGCTGAAGAAGGTAGGGATTGCCAGCAGCCTTGGAAGCTGGAAGGGGAAGCATGGATACTTCCCTGGCGTCTTCAGGAGGAATGTGACCCTGCTGATGCTTTGATTTCAGGCTTCTAGCCTCCAGAGCAGTGAGAGAATAAATACCTGTTGTTTCTAAGTCACTCAGCTTGTGGTAATTTGTTATGGCAACTCTGGGAAACAGATACAGTCAGCAAGATAGCCTGGGACCATGTGAAGCAGGGACAGATTGAGAAGCCCTTCTAAGAGGAGGTGATCTTGAACTGCATTAGGTTTAGGAGTTATATGTTAGCCCAGGGGAAAACGAGGAAGGCAGGCCTCATGATCACAGCCACAGAGTCATTCAAGGCAGCCACATCTGGGACATGGAAGTGGGCTGGTTTTCCAGGTTCTTGTCGTAAGCTCCTTGAAGGCCCAGGATTTCCTATAGACATTCTCCATTCTGTATATTTCCCATGCCCTGTTCCAAGGCAGAAATGTGTTCCTTGTGTTAGAGGTTTTAATAGACTGTGTCACTGCCACAAGATCACAAACTGGTGACGTTGAGTGGATTTGGCAGAACTTGCACAAGAGACTTAGTAGGGGGAAGGGGGCTCATCATCTCGATTGTGACCTTGCTGAGAGCATGCAGCATAGCGAGACTGAACTGATGTGATTGAGCAGCGCCTTTTCACAAGATAGAATGGGTCTCAGCTTTCAGTTGGACATTGGAGGTGAGGGAAAGGAAAGGGCATGGAAGAGAGAGTCCCTCTATTTCTATTTTGAGTGATGGGAGGATGACGGCTAGTTGCCAAGTTGATGGACATAGATAAGTGAAGAAGACGAGAGGGTTTATGAGGGGTTGGCTGGTTCTCTTTTGGAAAAACTGTTTGAGGGGATTTAGAGGCAGTCGGCTGTAAAGGCTGGTGCTTGGAGAAGATATCTGAGCCCTTCCTTGGCCAGATTGATCAATACAGGTTTGGTAAAAGAGCATAGAAGAACAGCAGGCCAAGGAGAGAACTCACTAAAGAAAGTGTAAGGCACAGTACCCAATACATGGATAGATAGTAAGAGGCCCACATTGTTCCAGAAGCCAAAGAATTTCCAGAGACGTTCGTAGTCAATAGGGTCAAGCCTTACAGAGGTCATTAATTGAATTTATATATGAAAAGTTATGTGCTCTGAGAAATATGTTTTAGGATATAAAGAAGAGGTACTGTTAAAAGTATGGTGAAAATTCAGAGGAAATATTGATTACTGTATGACTAAAAATGAAGAAAGGAATTTAGGGAACCAGCAGTTAGCGTAATGGCTATGTTGCTGGACTCCCACATAGTCGACCGCGGTTCACGTCCCGGACCCAGTGGCTTAAAACTCACGCCAGGCGCATGTGCGTGCGTGCCCAAGATCCTGAGAGGAGAATAGAGAAGGGATTGTGGCATGGCCATCCCCCCTGGAGGGTGATTTCTCACTTTCTGTCTCTATGTCTCTCTCTGTCTGGCGAGCGCACGTGCCCTATTGCGAAAACCTCTAAAAAAAAAAAATAGTAAATAAATAAAGAAAGGAATCTAAAATCCAAGAAATAGGAATCTGAGTACATGTTTCTGCCTCATGTGAGTAATACAGGTATGAACTGAAGTAAGCTTAACCAAACTAACCATGGGGCCAGGCGTTCATCATTTCCACATCACTTTGATGGATTGATTCATTAGGCAATACACGATGCTGCTTGTCTGCTATCTTTTGTAGACACGACTCAAGCAGTATTGGGAGATGGGGGAATTTACAATTCTTGAGTCAAATCCTAATCTTCACCCAATATTGTCCTTGCTAGTCTCCAAATATGCTAGATTTTCCTGCTTTCATACTTTACCATAAGTCATTTATACCTTTGCTTTTAATCTCTGCTTGAGCTGCGCTGCTTCTCCCTACCACCTTACATTTTTCTCTGAATTCATTATATCTGACAAGGCTGTATCAAGTGTTCTCTCCCTGTCCATAATTTCTGGTGCCACTGGCTGGAAGGGCGCTCTCTCTCTGGCTGACATAGGCCACAGATAGCAAAGCCATGACTTTTACTTAGAGTCCCTGGATGGAGAGAGTATCTCTCTCACTTTTGTCCCTTTCTTTTTAATTGGCTGAGGTCTTGTGTACTCACCAGAGAGACAGAGCATGGGAAAGGGAGAAAGCACTCACCCAGAGGAGCACGGTCACACTACAGTCCTTTCTCCTCTCTTGAGTTGGGATTGGAGCATATTTACACATGTGCCTAGTTTCTCATTTTGTAGGTGTGCAGGTCAGTAGCTAGGATTCCAAATGGGCACTGAAGAGGCTTCTTAATGATGCTGTTGCTGCTGGTCTGCAGATCACATTTTGGGAGCTTCTGCTATGAAACAGCAGTGCAAGGTATAGGACCTTGTCTCAGATTGAGTTACTAAAGGGCATGGTGTGAGGCAGGGATTGAGGGCATGTGGGATTCAGAGCGATCTTTAGAAAAATATCTTAAAAAACTGAGGGAGACCTGATAAGGGCGAGGAAAGTGCCAAGCAAGGGTGTTTTCCCAAGTGAAGTCTGGCCTTTGGTTTATGTTCTGAGGTAGGAATGGAATTGTCTGGCCTTTTGTATTCTCAAGAGTCACCACTGACTGTGATCCAAGGTAGAGGGCCATTCTCATAGAAGAGTGAAACTTTGAGTTCCTTGACAGCTACTCTCTCAGTAGGGGATAGGGCAGCCCCCCAGTAAAGGGGAACTAGACAGGGCACAAGGAACACTAATCCCATATGCTAGTTTTATAATGTTAAAACTGGAATAAAAAATGTTAATAAATTATATAAGGCCACATAACTATAATTTGAACCTGGGCTGCTAGAATACAGAAACAAAGCCCCATATTCTCTATTTTGTTCCACTGATCTCTGTGTCTGTTATTGTGCAGTACCATGCTGTTTTGATTATGATAGATTTGAAATATATTTTGAGGTCAGGTAGTGAGATGCCTCTTACTTTGTTCTTTTTGCACAATATCGCCTTGGTGATATAGGGCCTTTTATGATTCCAGAAAATATTTTTTGTTATGTCTTTGTCTACTTTTGATTTCAAGATGATACAGGTCTCACAGAATGAGTTTGGGAATAAGTTTGTCCATTTGCATCTTTAGAAATAATATGAGGAGAATTGGGATTAGTTCTTTAAAAGTTTTGTAAAAATTTAGAAGTGAAGCCATCAGGACCTGGACTGGTTGCAAAAAGTTTTCCTCATTGGGAGACTATTACTGATCCAATATTTTTCTTGTTACCTGTCTGTTCAGGTTTTCTATTTCTTCCTGATTCAATTTAGATATATTGTAATATGTCTCAAAGGCCATCTGATCTAGGTTTTCTAGTTTGTTGACATTGTTGCTCATTGTATTCTCTCATGATATTTTGTATTTCTGTGATATCTGTTGTAATAATGCCTATTTAGTTAACCCAAATCTGTTCATTTGGTTCCTTTCTTTGTTTTTTTCGTAGTCTAGCTAATGATTTGTCAATTTGGTTTATCCTCTTTAAAAAAAAAGAGAGCTTTTTGTTTCAATAATTTTTGTAGTGTTCTTTTATTCTCAATTTTATTTATTTCTGCTCTAATCTTTATTATTTCTATTTTTCTAGTATTTGTGGGATTTGTTTTAATTTCTTTCCCAGTTCTTTGAGATGTGTCATTAAATTACTTATTTGCCACCTTTCTTTTTTATTTAATTTTTTAAATGAAAAAATAATTGCTATAAATTTCTCTTTTAGAACTTCTTTTGCTGTGTCTCAAAGATTATGGAGAATTGTGTCTTTGTTATCATTGGTCTCAAGAAATTTTAAAAATTTCTCTTGAATTTCTAAAGTACTTTCAAAGTCATTCAGGAATAAATTGTTTAGTTTCCATGTGTTTGTATTTTCTATGTACATGTATTTTTGAAGGGATCTCTTGCTGATTTCAAGTGTAATTCCATTGTCAGAAAAGGTGCTACATATAGTTTCTATATTTTTAACTTATAAAGGCTAGATTCATGCCCTGTTACATGGTCAGTCTTCAAAAATATTCAATGTGGGCTAAAAAAAATACACATTTTGCAGTCTTTGGATAAAATGTTCTTTCAATGTCTGTCAGGTCCATTTGTCTCTTTGATTAGTTTTTGCTTTGATGACATATCCCGTGGTGACAGTGGGGTGTTGAAACCCACAATAATTAGTGTATTGAAGTCTATCTATGTCTTTAGATTTAACAGTTTGTCTTTTCTGTATTTTGGTTCTCCAGTATTGGGTATATAAATACTTATAATTGTTATATCTTCTTGGTGAATCAGTCTCTTTAATGTATTATATATATTAATATGTTTTATAATATATACACTATGTGTGTATATAGTGTGTATATATATATATAGTTGTGTGTGTGTATATATATATACACACACATATATATGTATATATAGTGTCCTCCTTTATCTCCTTTGATAATTTTTATCTTGAAACCTATTTTGATGGATATCAGTATCATAACTACATTTTTTTTTGC